TTTCTTGAAGTTTCAAGATTGCTGTCGACTGCGAGTTTCTTTTAGGCAGAAGTCTGGCAGAAGTCTCATCTGTACAGTAATTTCTATTGGCCCGCGATCGCATCTAGTCTGGACAGCCCTAGCTTATATCTTAAAGTGGATATACGTTATAAATCCTTGAGTTCAATCCAATTTACATCTAGGACGTTTTTTGAATGCTACGCATCTCGAGATGTCGATAAACATGTGAAAATTGAACAATACGCAGACATTAATACGTAAGTAACTATTTAAGAAAATGTTTTGCGATCTCATTGATAGACGTCAAAGAAATATTAGTCTTGTGGTAGGTTTGTTGAGATAATCTTTTTTGAGGTCAGGTTATAGCTTCCACCATTTACAGCGGAAGATTGAATCACCCATTTAATGATTGCTTTTGCAGTTGTGTGGAAAATAAAAAAAAAATGCTTCACATCTGTAATGCTACTATACAGTGCGTGCACAAGGATGATTAATTCATGATTAATTATGCTACGTACTTACTTTTTAAACTATCGTGAGACTTTAACACACTATAACCACCCCTTAATAATAAATGCAGAAGATTTCCCCCGAAATGCAGAAACCTCATTCCAGCAATTATGGGAAAGAGATTTGATCAGGAGCCTTTATACCTAGAGGTCTTTATTTATCAAAGGTAGGTACAAAATATGTTAGTCAGTATTAAGAATTTTATTTTTATAGAACGTTAGGCTCTGGTGGTTTTAAATAATTTTTAAAACTTCAGTGATAAAGAATAGCTCAATCGATCAAGTGAATCCCAAAATTCACATAACGAATAACGAATAACGAATAACGAATAACATAACGAATAGTATAATCCCTACTATTCATTTTAAACCCTTTGGCGCCAATTGCTGCTGTCCTATATGTTAGGATCAATATTGGAAAATAAAACCAGACCATCGATAAGTCATATAAGTTTTGAAAAAATTGTTTTGCATATATGTATATCTCCTTTTTCGTTTCATGTTATGAATGTAAACAGTATTTCTTTTATCCTACAAAGGTAATGAGTTTGAACAAAAATGATAGAAGTTAAAACGAACATATCGTTCAGATATTTTTATTGTCTTTATTAGTATATTGAGTAAATGGAATTATTTAGATTTCATATACTTATTGGCGTCTAAAATGATCAGTTGGGTATTACTTTCGATTTCTAAGCCATTTTGAAAAATGAAATTGAAAAACTAAATATATAATTTACTCAAGCGTTTTACTAGTGCTTGAACTTTGAAACTAATACAAATTGCATTTACATTTGTATCTTAATAATGAATGAGGTTATCTTTTTCTTGGAAATATTTTTAAAGCAACATTTTAGTCCTTTGTTCATTATTTATTTAGTTCTTGAATGCGTTGTACGCATGAAAATAATTTCGAAAATTAGTGAAATGATTTTGGCACTTCTCTAAAGTATATTACAGACTAAAACTTAAAGATCGGTACTCCTTAGTATTTAAAATTTAAATATTTTAGTCATTATTTTTTTATTACTCTTTATTTAAAATTATGAATTATGATATTTATAAATAGTTTAGGTCTTTCTTACGTAGAACTTGTCTTTGTCTATTTTCTATTAATTTGTTTTATTTTTCTTTCGTACATTTTTTTGTAATAAAAGACATGTCAAAATCTTGTTTGAAATTAAAAACAAAAATATAAATAAAAATATATTTCTCTAATAAACTATTAGTTAGCATTTTTATTATATAGGCTGTCGTTTTTTGTAGAGTGAATGGATTTTGGGAGTCCCCGTTTGTTATTGTGTGACAGACGCTTAAAAGCGTGCAAGCTCAAAAGCGCTACATTTTAAATGAAAGTATGCTTCTTTCATAGATTGCTTTTTGTAGTTCACAATATAAACTTTAGTACAGCGAAGATTTATATAATTAATAATTCTTTTATTTGAATAAAACATAATTATATTGAAAGGTGAAATCTCCTATTAAAATGTGTACTATAAATAAATAATATTCAAATTGAATATTTTAACATATAATATTCAGTCTCTAAATATGCTATATTCGATCAATTTGAATTAATGAAAGAAAAAAATAAAAATGACAACATTAATAAGATTTCTGTTTAGAACTATTGTTCTATAAATACAAAACATCGAAATAATTTTGGGTTAATATATAAACAAAAATATATTATATATGCATATTTATATTATTTATGTAATATATATTAAATGGATTATACTTCATACGGACAGAATCTAATTACAAATTTATAAAAAATTTTATATTAATTTTTTAGAGATTATTAAAAATTAGAGCTTTTTGTAAAAGGCAACCGCGGAAGCTGATTTTGTAAAGATATCTACAATATACTTAAAAACATATAAGATAATATTTATAAATATTATATTATCTTGATGATTATTTAAATATTTTATTTTTTAAAAATCAAAACTGTTATCTAGAAGTATAAAATAGCATAAATGCTTATTCGGTCCGTTCTAACTAATCAAAACGAGGTATGAGTTCTTCGTATTTTAGATTCCAAGCGAATTGTAGACTTTAAAAGTAAAATTCAAAGACAAATACTTGATCCGATCATAGTTGGAAACTTATATAAAAGTCGATCCAATTTAAAACTTAAAAACTAATTAATTACATAACAATTATTTGTTTAGTGAAATCACAATGTTTGAAATGACTTAGACACGTCAAGCATGTATAAGTTATTATCACATTAAAGAGAATCTTAAAATTATATCAATATGTATCCCGAGCTGTGCATTCTCCGAAAGTCGCTCTTTATTTACAATTAAAAATATCTCAAATAAGATAAACATCCAAAATAAGATACTATACTAATTGATATGGAAAGAAATTATGAAAGAAGTCATGATATCATGAGAGAATACAAAAGCTTCTTGCATAACATTGTAATAATACTTACTCGCAAACTAAATTAAATAATTCAAAAACTTAAAGCTAAGCTATATACACATATATTTAAAAATTTAAAAACAATCTTTTAAAAACTTGCATAAATGCTAGTCTTAAAAATCCTGGAAAATAGATAACTGCTGTCAGATTGATAACCTTAATAGCATATGTGTAAATAACGCAAACTTATAATATTTATAATGAAAATTGATTGATATAAACAAATTATTAACAGTAAAGAATAAAAAATTATAAAGTGAAAATTATTAGTAATGATATTACCGGATTAAAAAAATAAACATGTTTCCAAGTGAAATAAAATTTTATGTTTATAACAAGGGATATATGTGACTATTTAGGAAGGCATTGTGCATAATAATGAGACAAAGGTTATATGTGGATTATATATATAATTCATATGTGGATTATATAGTTTATATATGTGGATTTAAATATATTCAATGTAATAGAAACTTTATTATTGTAGCTATATATATGCGATTTATTAACAATAATATATAGAAAAAAGTTAAATTTGATTTTAAGGTCAGTTACGATGGCAGTGACTATTTTATTTAATATAAAAACATTGTATTTAATAGAGTGGTTCCGAAAAGTACAAAATTGCAACAATTTTTTAAACAAATTAAACATTTTTATTGTTACAATTTTTAAAAAAAAAATTTGAAATATTTGTTGTTGCAATTCATGACTGTTCAAAAAAAATTAAATAAATCTCTACTGCTAGGAGATTAAAAATGTTTATAATGTAACTAAAAATATTTTGAAGAAATTATTATTTAAATATTGACTAAAGCGAAAAAAAAACATATCTAAACTATGCCACTGAAATTGTTAAAGTTTAATATTAAATTTAAAATGAATCAACTCTCCCTTTTAAAAAATGATATCAACGTACTCATATATAACATAAATACTTACGGCAATAAGTATACATATATAGTAGAACATAGCTGTAGGGTGCATTTGTAAGGTGGATAAACTTGTAATTATTAAATGTATCTAAAACATAAATTGATTCTAAATATACAAAATCTATAACAAATACAAGCTCTGGAATAAAAGTTAATATAAAAAGCAATGAAAAAAATATATATTACAAAAAATACTATAAATAAATTGTAGAGGGTTTTCTTAAGAACTTGTTAAGTTGAAACACATAAGATAAACTGTATTTTTCCCACTTAGTCAACGTTGCGGATAAACAAGTCGCGTGAGTATGGAGTAAAGCTGCATTCGATTCTCAGTTAATGTCTTGAAAGCGATCTGACTGGACACAAAGTTCGCTGTTTCTAGTGCTTTTGTGGAATGTAGTTTGAATATTAATAAAGTGAGACAAAAACGTAAATGCAATAAAACTTTTTGTTACTATTGTTGTTTTTAAATAAATCGTGCTTTATTTACAAATATAATATAAAAATATAGACAAAAAATATAAAATAAAAAAAAAACTGGAAGAGTATATTTTTAAATAAATTTTAACGTAACAAAATGTATGAACAGAATAATGAAAGCAATCCGTTCACTACGGCAGCTAACAATGCTTTATGGAGCTTACAGGGACGTAGAGCAAGTAATGCTGCTAGTCCTGCTGTAAACAATTCCTCTCCAGCCGAAATACCTCAAAATATTTTTTCAAATCCCGCCATACAACCCTCCAGTGTTATAAATTTATCGAATTCAAGTGATGTGGTTATTGGACCAATGACACAATATCAGGGACCGGTCACAATATATCAATACATGGACGCAACTGTTGAAGCGCGCTCAATGCAAGCAAACGGCGGTAAATATCAGTAAATATTGCGCATATTTAAGCTTTGAGATAAACGCTTTGAAACTGTGTCTAGAATTGAGTTTATTTT